TGAGCCACCCAGGAGGCCCCTAAGTGTTGTATTTTCTTTATGCTTCTCCTCCGAGTGTTGAAGTAATGTAACTTCCCACATAGGTATAAGCTCGGATTTTGCCGCTTCTGCACCGTGAAGTACAGCCCGAGCACCAGTGAGCTGGACAACATGTTCGTTCACCTTACCAACGTCGCTATTCAGAAACATGGGGTAAGTGTGTCCCTTCCCTCCAGCTGAAGGAAATGGACCCTTTTGGTGGGCTTCATTCTATTTGCGTGAGACGGCAGGCGGCTACAGGAGTGGAATTCCAGACGCCCTGGCACTCAGGAGGAGCGCGGGCCTTCAGTCTCTGGCGCGGCTGCCCCAGCACATCCGTAGGGCCGGCCTCAGGTGGGGTGACTTGGGGAGAAAGAAAGCCCCGGGGTCAAGCCCTGCTTTTCTGGCTCCGTGACCTGGGGCAAGTCAATTTGACTCTCCGAGCCTAGCGTGGGTTTCTCACTTGTAAAAGGAGATAATGTCACTCCCTCATGGGAGTGGTGGGAGGACACATGACTCTCTGAGCACCTGTCTGGGTTGGTCCCCTGCTGGGTGCCGGGGCTACACCGATGGGCAGAAACTAGCTTGGTGTCTCCTCAGGCAGCCTAGGCCTGTCAGGGAATGTGTAATGACAAACCGAGGTGCGTGCTCTGAGGGTAGGGAGTGCACATCTAGAAGAGCATGGGATGAAGGGGTCCCTCGTCCAGGGGGCTGAAGAAGACTTTGGTGCAGAAGTGGAGTGGTGCTCGAGCAGAGACCTGAAGTGTAAGCGGGGGTTACCCAGGCCAGGAAAGGGTGTTTGGGCAGAGGGTACAGTGTGTGCTGGGGCCCTGTGGCAGGAAGGAGCACAGCCCAGGGCTGTGAGCAGGCCAGGGTGGCTGGAACCCCCAGAACGATGGTGGTGGAGTCAGGTGTACCTGGTGAGGCCAGTGAGGGCCGAGACGCAGGACATCATAGGTTCTGTGTGGGCTTTGGGGCTTTACTCTGGTCCTAACAAAAATGTTCGGAAGGCCTCATTGCTTTATGAGAGATTCTTCTGTTTGGACCTTGCTTGACTGGAAGCCTTGAGTACCTTGGTCCTTTTTTAAATGTAATTTGAGTGGAGAGAGGGTAAGTGTTGATAGAAAACAAGCTTTTTTTGAGCAACCTACTGAAGGGTTTGGTCAGACCAGCCTGGGCTCCATCCCCTGTCCATCCCTTACCCTCCGTGTGACTTGGGCAAGTCGCCCCGGCCTCCCTGGGCCGCCTTGTCTGCAAACGGGAGCCCTGGTATTACCTTGCTGGTCACCATTTACTGAGGGCCTCGATAGTCTTCTGTGTGAGGCCGACCCTGATTCACTGCCCAGAAGGTTCCCCTGAGAGCAGACTGGCGAGCACTACTGTTACACGTTCAAGGTGGGAGGAGCAAGGATGGCTTGGCCAGAAGCTTATTCATAAGAATTGGGAAAATGAGCTATCACGGGATGGAGCACCAAACTTACCAGCCATTTGGAGAAAGCTGAGCAATGACATCAGGCCCTTTGTCGCCAAGTAGCCAAATTAGTGAGGTCTGGGTGTGGGCTGGGAGATGACAGTGCCGACCTGAGTCTGCTTGGTGTCCCTGAGCATGTCGGCCTGCCAAGCCACCAGGGGGCGGGGGAGGGCGGGTGCTGGGGAGCCACACTGAAATTGGGAGGGCTCCATTTGATAGGCCTTCTCAGGACACCAGTCAGCTGAGTCACTATTTCATCAATAAGAAACAGAAACCAATTTTTTTTTTTTTTAACCTGTGGAAGGAGAGAGCAGAAGGCAGGCCGTGTAGCTTGGCATCTCTGCAATGCACCAGACGGCTCCGTGCTTTCTTTGGGGTCTATTTGTAAATGCTTCGCTTGTTAACGTGAGAAAGTGCTTACTCTGAGAAACCTAAGTTTCAGTCCCGAGTAGAAGCCTTGCATGGCTCTCATTAGGCTTGCGTGAAGGACAGGTGTTGTACTGGACACTGAAATGTTAAAGCTGTCTGTTGGGCACATCTACCCAGTGTCCCTGGGCGCAGAGCACAGCCCGGCGCCTGGGTCAGAGACTGCGAAGGGGCATCCCCACCCTCAGGAAACTCAGGGACCAGCAGGGGAGGCAGATGGCAAAGGACTGATGATGAGGGAGGCCTTGGGGCTGTGGTGGGGGTGCAGGTGTGTGGGAGGGGCCCACCAGGAGGCAGATGGATCCAGCAGGCAGACTAGGGGATGGAAAGAGCAGGGGTGCATCCTGATGTGCGCAGTGTTTGCAAATTGATCGATAAGGTGTTCTGAAATAAATCTGATAAAATAACGTTCCTACAGTCCAAAAAGCAGGAGACGTTTCCTGCTGTTTATATCTACACATGTGTATTGTTTTTGTTTTTTTTTTAAGATTTTATTCATTTATTTGACAGAAAGAGACACAGTGAGAGAGGGAACACAGGCAGGGGGAGTGGGAGAGGGAGAAGCAGGCTTCCCGCTGAGCAGGGAGCCCGATGTGGGGCTCGATCCCAGGACCCTGGGACCATGACCTGAGCCTAAGGCAGACGCTTAACGACTGAGCCACCCAGGCGCCCCTATATCTACACATGTGTAAGGCAGTGTTTTGCTGTGGATACTTTATACCTCTAGAACTTTTTTTTAAAGATTTTATTTATTTATTTATTTATTTATTTGAGAGAGAGAGCACGAGCAGAGGGAAGAGGCAGAGAGAGAGAAGCAGACTCCCCGCTAAGCAAGGAGCCCGATGTGGGACTTGATCCCAGGACCCTGGGATCATGACCTGAGCTGAAGGCAGATGCTTAACTGACTGAGCCACCCAGGTGCCCTAGAACTTCTTTTTTTAAATGAACTTTTCTTGATAGTGAAGACACTCTGTAACAGGAAAAAGAAAGGTAATCGGTGGTGGCAGCCTGGTTTCCCTGCAACTTCTCCAAGTCCCTGTTTATAAGGATACAAACACTGAGTTATTGAGAGTGCATTTGAGGTGAACACACTTTGGGTACCTCATCTGGTAAGGCATTTTAGTGAAACTGATGTATAAATTTGTCTCTAACCTCGAAAGGTATTTTTTTTAAACTGGGGTTAAAGTGTTGCTAATTCTTTTTTAATATGAAAACAAAGTCTGTTTTGAGTCAGTGGTATTTGTCCTTTCTTAGGCTGGTTTGGTTTTAGTTCCCACCTTTTTACTCTGAGAAACCTAAGTTTCAGTCCCAAGTAGAAGCCTTGCATGGCTCTCATTAGGCTTGCGTGAAGGACAGATGTTGTACTGGACACTGAAATGTTAAAGCTGTCTGTTGGGCACATCTACCCAGTGTCCCTGGGCGCAGAGCACAGCCCGGCGCCTGGGTCAGAGACTGCGAAGGGGCATCCCCACCCTCAGGAAACTCAGGGACCAGCAGGGGAGGCAGATGGCAAAGGACTGATGATGAGGGAGGCCTTGGGGCTGTGGTGGGGGTGCAGGTGTGTGGGAGGGGCCCACCAGGAGGCAGATGGATCCAGCAGGCAGACTAGGGGATGGAAAGAGCAGGGGTGCATCCTGATGTGCGCAGTGTTTGCAAATTGATCGATAAGGTGTTCTGAAATAAATCTGATAAAATAACGTTCCTACAGTCCAAAAAGCAGGAGACGTTTCCTGCTGTTTATATCTACACATGTGTATTGTTTTTGTTTTTTTTTTAAGATTTTATTCATTTATTTGACAGAAAGAGACACAGTGAGAGAGGGAACACAGGCAGGGGGAGTGGGAGAGGGAGAAGCAGGCTTCCCGCTGAGCAGGGAGCCCGATGTGGGGCTCGATCCCAGGACCCTGGGACCATGACCTGAGCCTAAGGCAGACGCTTAACGACTGAGCCACCCAGGCGCCCCTATATCTACACATGTGTAAGGCAGTGTTTTGCTGTGGATACTTTATACCTCTAGAACTTTTTTTTAAAGATTTTATTTATTTATTTATTTATTTATTTGAGAGAGAGAGCACGAGCAGAGGGAAGAGGCAGAGAGAGAGAAGCAGACTCCCCGCTAAGCAAGGAGCCCGATGTGGGACTTGATCCCAGGACCCTGGGATCATGACCTGAGCTGAAGGCAGATGCTTAACTGACTGAGCCACCCAGGTGCCCTAGAACTTCTTTTTTTAAATGAACTTTTCTTGATAGTGAAGACACTCTGTAACAGGAAAAAGAAAGGTAATCGGTGGTGGCAGCCTGGTTTCCCTGCAACTTCTCCAAGTCCCTGTTTATAAGGATACAAACACTGAGTTATTGAGAGTGCATTTGAGGTGAACACACTTTGGGTACCTCATCTGGTAAGGCATTTTAGTGAAACTGATGTATAAATTTGTCTCTAACCTCGAAAGGTATTTTTTTTAAACTGGGGTTAAAGTGTTGCTAATTCTTTTTTAATATGAAAACAAAGTCTGTTTTGAGTCAGTGGTATTTGTCCTTTCTTAGGCTGGTTTGGTTTTAGTTCCCACCTTTTTAAAAAAAAAAAGATTATTTATTTATTTATTTGAGAGAGAGAGCACAAGCAGTGGGGAGCGGCAGGCAGAGGCAGAGGGAGAAGCAGACTCCCCACTGAGCAGAGAGCCTGATGCGGGACTCGATCCCAGGACCTCGGGGTCATGACCCAAGCCAAAGGCAGACGCTTAACTGACTGAGTGACCCCGGCGCCCTTTAGTTCTCACTTCTTATCTTTATACTTAGGAAAACAAAGCCTGGTCTCATAACCTCCTGATGTACTTCAGGATTTTCTGGCTTTTTGCCTCCAAAAGAGAGCATTGGGTAGAGAGTCAATGTTTAGGGTCAGAGGACTAGAAGGAGCCGTGGGTGAGGGTGAGAAAGCTGGGCTCGGGTGCCAGCTCCCTCATGGCCCAGGTAGAAGCTCGGGCAGGTCATGTAACCCCTCTGAGCCCAAGTCTCTTACCCACGGATGGGACGTTGTGAGGAGTTGCGTGTGCAGTGCTCTTGGACTACGGTGCCCAGTACCGCGTGTGGCTTCTCTGAAAGCAGACTCACAGGCAGAGATGAGTGCGCAGGGGGTCTGCTGGGGCGATGGGGGGGGGGTCCAGACATTGCAGAGGGAAGGTTGAGCTGGGACGCCCCAGCGGCAGGGTGCCTGGAGCTGGGTGGTCCTGCAGAGTCACTCAGGATGGATCAGGGACCGAGGGACCCTGGCATCAGCCTGTAACAGGCTGCAGGCTGCCAGGGTGGGCATGACCTTGGACTGGGTTGCTCCCGTTAGCCAAGGGCAGCTCCCAGAGATGTCTGGGCCGGAAGCTGGGGTCTGGATGGCACTCCACAGCATGCATTGCAGGCGGTGAATTACTAAGTGTGAATGTTACTACTAGAGGTGAGTATTTTAATCATACCCGTATAGGGGGCCCCCAGCACACATTCTAGGGGGAAAGAGCAGGTGCTAGATTCCTCAGGGTGCACTGCCTGGAGCCCTGTGCCCTTTCTATGACCAGGAAGACTACAACCACATCCACGGGGGCAAGTGGACCGTGAGCAACCTGCGGCTCTACCTGGAGAGCACCCGAGGCAAGGAGGTGACCAGCAAGCTGTTCGACGAGATCCACTGGATCATCGTGCAGTCGCTGAAGGCCGTGGCGGTGAGTGCCTGGGGGGGGGGGCGGAGTTGGGCTGGGGCCTGGGAGCAGAGCCACTGAGTGTGGGCGGCGGGGGATGCTTGTTCTTTTGCCACAAATACTTGTCTTTACGGGCTCACCTCCTTCATGTCCATGTGTCTGCCAGAGGCTGGGGCAGTTTCGGGGAGGTAGCGGGGCCAGCTTCCAGCTAGGTGCTGCCCAGGGCACGCCAGGTGCCAGACGAGTCCTGCTGGGGTCACCACCAGCTCTTCTGTGCCATTGGATGGAGGAGGTCTACTTTGGCATGAGCTGACGGTCAGAGATGGCCTCACGGTGGCCTCCTCGGGTTTAGGCCTCCTGCTCTGTGACATCATGGACATCCGGACACCCACCTCTCTGCTTGTTGCCTCAAGTCTGCTATTTGTTGGCTGGTTTGCAATTTTTGCTTGTGTTTTGTTTTACTGTTCCAAAGCAGGAGGGCATCTATTTTTGAGGGAAAGAAAAGAAATAAACACCAGGTCACCAGCATGTGGGCTACTGTGTTCAGAGCTCCACATGTGGGCTCCCAGATGCTCATTACCCTGTGACTCATAAGCAAAATGGAGGCTCAGCCCTGGACCGAGGGAGTGCAGGGACAGGCTCTGGGGCCCAGGCCTGCTGAGGGGGCTCCCAACGGACTGGCCCACTGGCTGTGGGACCTGAGGGCACTCGGCCTGGCCCTGGGAGTAGGCAGCAAGTCCCGTGGAGAGTGTATGCCCAGGCTTTCGGAGCCTCGGAGGCCTTCTCTGTGAAATCGGGAGACGGTGGGGTGGGGGGGTTGGAGAGTTAGCAACTTCCTGTCCTGCAGAGGCTGCTGGGACAATGGTGTGGGCAGTGGCTGAGGGTAGGACCCCAGGTTCTCCGGGGAGATGCAGTTCCACTGACTCCCCTGGAAAAACAGCCCCTGATTCTTGGCTGCCTCCCCCACCCTTCCACCCCTCAGCCTGGTTTTCCTCCAGCGGGTAAGCCTGGACTGGCCTGTCTCCCCTCAGGAGTTTCAGGTCTAAGTCCAGGGTTTGAAGAGAGCCCACACACCCACTAACGTGTAAAAAGGCCTCACTGTCATATCTGTGAGCTTCACTCACTGTGGGGTGCATGAGGGGCCCCAGGGCGCATGTCACGTGGCTGCTTGCTGGGCCTTCCCACAGGTTTTGATCCAGGTAGCCTGGGCAGGGCCTGGGAATCTGCATTGTGAGTGGCTAGGAGGGTTTTTTTTACATACCTGGAGAACAGTTTATGAAGTGGAATTGAACATTAAAAAGAAAATCCAGGGGCCACCTGGGTGGCTCAGTCGTTAAGCGTCTGCCTTCGGCTCAGGTCATGATCCCGGGGTCCTGGGATCGAGTCCCGCATCGGGCTCCCTGATCGGCAGGAAGCCTGCTTCTCCCTCTCCCACCCCCACCCCCGCTTGTGTTCCCTCTCTCGCTGTGTCTCTCTCTGTCAAATAAATAAATAAAATCTTAAAAAAAAAAAAAGGAAAGAAAAAATCCAAAGATTGTCAGTAAATAGATTGACTCTTGTCACTCCAGAGAATGGAGGTTCATGACCTGGCATCCCGCATCCTTAAGGGCCCGAGAAGGGCCTAGCAGCCTGGTGGACGGGCTCCGTTTGTGATGAGAGGCTGCATAGGCCTTCGTTCTGTGTGCCGACTGAGGAGCAGGACTTCGGTCTGCTCCAGGGACAGTACCATGTGGACAGAGATGACGGTGCTCTGATCAGGCCTCGGATGAGTGAGGCCCGGAGACCCTGGTGATCGCTTCGTGATGTCCCCTCGGAGGCTGAGGGAAGTTTCCATGTCTGAGCCGAGGAGGAGGAGGACCTGGGAGGGATGGAGGGAAGCACCAGGGGCGGAGGTGGGGCGTGCTGGTCTTGGCAGTGAGACCCCCGCACGCCAGCACCCAGCACTGCCAGGAGGGCCCGCCACCTGGCTGCCCGCGCCTCCGAGGTGGTGGTGTCGGCCGGGCCCTTCTGAGGCCACCGTATAAGCCGCCACTTACTCTCTTGCAGCCGGTGATGAACAATGACAAACACTGCTTCGAGTGCTATGGGTATGACATCATCATCGACGACAAGCTGAAGCCCTGGCTGATTGAGGTAACCGCGCTGCTGCAGCCCATGGGGCTGCTCGCCCACCCAGCTGCCTCTGCCCTGCCTCAGGCTCGGCAGGACTGGGGCAGATTCTGCCGATTAGATGTAACAGGGACAGATAGTCAGGTGCGACAAGCTTGCTGCTGAACAGTGAGCACACTCCCGATCTCTCACCTGCGAGTCCAACCCACGGAGCCGGCTTCCCTCGTCCAGACGAGCTCGGTGCCCTGGTGCTCCCAGGTGCTTCCAGAAGCATCGTGTCCCGGAGGCCCTGCCCTGTCCTCATGGGGGCATTGTTCCCATTCAGGAAAGGCTCTTCCAGACCCGGAAGCCTGTGGGAGGTGGTAGCATATGGTCCAGAGATAAGGGATGTTATCTTTTTCCGACCAAGGCGTAGTTTGGGAGTGGATTCATCTGCCTGTTTCAAGGCATGGATGGGATGTAGCAGTGGCTGGCCTAGGTGCACACACCCTTTCTCTGGTGATAGGCCTGGGTGATGCTTGCCTCAGCCGCAGTGGCGCTGGCATACGCACCTGAGGCCCAGAGCCTGCCTTGCTGGGGTTACTCTGCTTTGCTTTGCGGCCAGAGAGAGGAGCTTGGGCCTCAGGGGACACAGGGTTGGACACCCCATGAAAATGCGGGCTGTCTGTTCCGTTGGTTCCTTTCCCTGCCTGTGCCTGTGAGCACTGGTGGAGGTAGACGGCTCAAGCCTTTTAGCTCAGTCCCATTTTGAGCCAGGAAAGTGGAGTCTCAAAAGGAAATTGTGAGTGGTCACAACTTGTAGGGAAATTCACTGGGAGCCCTTACAGGAAGCTGCTGGGAGAGCCAAGTCATCAGAGAGCAAACTGTTCCAGAACAGTATTTTCCAGGTTACTTCTTATACTGCCAAAACTGCGTGTGTGTGGGGGGGGGGGGGGGGGGGGGGGGGGTGTGTATGTGGGTGGGTGTACGTGCGTGTGCATGCGTGGAGACATATGTAGATATATAGAGAAATCTGCAGATGCATATATAAAATATTTATGCATTCTCTTTTTCCATTTTAGAAGTCCAGTACACTATCCATTGCGCTACAGAGTGTTTTTTTCCATTTTAAACAGAGTAACTTGAGTGGAAGTCAAACTTTCCTTGATGTGCTAGATCTTAATTGTGAATAATACTTCTAACATAATAACAGATCTTAATCTTAGAATATTTATAATAATCCTGGCATTATGATATGCTAGCGTAGTAATTCCAAGGGCGCCTGAGGTTCATACAGTACCTTTTACTGCTGAACATTAGCTACCTTGCTAGCAGCACAGAGACAGTCTGGCTGTTTGGGAGAAACCTAAACAACTTGAACACTTGCTGCCTCCACTCTCCCACGGCCTGAGGAAACAGCTAACCAAGATCATTACAACTGTGCCTAAAGTAAGAGTAAATGGGTGGTGACTCAGGGCCTGTGGGACTCTGCACACAGCAAATGACTGCATTTTAACCTGTGGACATTTGACATTGCTTAGCTCCTCAGGGGCCTTATGGGACTAACTTTCTGTCTTTCAGATGGGTTTCTCATTTGGTAGAATATTGCTTTGTTGGTGAGGTATTACTCTCTGTGCCAAAAAGGGGCCCACTGGGGACGCCTGGCTGGCTCAGTCGGTAGAGCATCCGACTCTTGATCTCGGGGTCATGAGTTTGAGCCCCGTGTTGGGTATAGAGATTACTTAAAGGTGGGGGGCATTACTTTTTACTTCAACCCCATGATGCTGCTTGGTCAGGGGGATTTGGTTCACTGATTCTAGCAAAGCTCGGGGCGGGGGGGCTTTCAATACTTTGGACAGAGCTCATCACATAGGTAGACACTGAAGTTATGCTTATGATCTACATTCACTTAACATTTTTTTTCTAAAGATTTTATTTATTTGAGAGAGAGAGAAGACACGAGCGGATGGAGGGGCACAGGGAGAAGCAGGCTTCCCACTGAGCAGGGAGCCCAACGTGGGGCTCGACCCCAGCACCCCGGGATCACGACCTGAGCCGAAGGCAGACGCTTAACCAACTGAGCCACCCAGGCGCCCCTTCACTTAACATTTTTATTTGTATGATAAGTGATTTGCAGGTCATAATCCCAACCTGTTTTCAATACTATTTATATTTCATCTACTAGCTGATGAAAGCAGATCCTAAAATGCTTCCTATACAAAGTACCAGACGATATTAGATATGAGCAGTGTGAAATGACAGCTTGATCTAAAAGTGTGTGGTAGTTGGCGTTTTCCTCAGCAGTGCGTGTGTTCACACCACAGGGATCTGTGATCCAAGTGAACAGCACAGTTCCTTTCCTCTCGTAGGTGAATGCGTCCCCGTCGCTCACCTCCAGCACTGCCAACGACCGAATCCTTAAGTATAACCTGATCAACGACACCCTCAATATTGCGGTCCCTAATGGCGAGATTCCAGACTGTAAATGGAACAAGTCACCCCCGAAGGAAGTCCTCGGCAATTATGAAATTCTGTAAGTTTGTGTGCAGACTGGGCAGCCGCCCTTGTGTGTTTCAGATTGAGGGGAGCCAGGGCCCAACTTGGATTGTTTGCATGTGGGTGGACTTGCCTTGTTGGGCCGAGCATTTCATTTATTAATGATGTTATGGGATAGATCATGTTGTAGCGGAAAAATAGGTCTTAAACTAGGCCTTTGTTTGGGTCTTTTACTTGATCAATATTGATGATGTGTTTGCCACCTGCTGGGCACCACACGAGCCGCTGGGGCGGGGGGGAGCAGGTGGGAGATCGCTAATGCAAGCGATCTTACGGAGTTGGGAAGATGAGAATGCTCATGATGATCGCTGACAGCTGAGGGCTGCCCACATGCCCGGAACTGTGCTGAGTGCCTCATTTCCCCAGCGGCCCCCTGAGGTCAGTATTGTCATTAGCCCCATCTCACGCAAGCGGAAACAAGGTTTAGAGAGGTACAGTGGCCTGTTGGCGGTGACAGAAAGTGGGAGCAGCGTGAGAGCCTCTTGGGGGGCAGTGGTTGAGCGACGTACCGTTGGTTCAAACCGTGGAATAGAGGGTGGCCCAGGAGCTCTGGTGGGGCCTGGGAGGCTGAGGGAGGAAAGCACGTTGCAGAAAAGGGCATGCGAGGGACGTGAGTTAGCTTGTCTGCATGGATGCGGCTACCGTGGGCTCTGAGGTGTGGAAGGGGAACTGGAGAAAAGAGGGAAATAGTGCCCCAGACCGGAAGAGGGAACACGTGTAAGGGTCACGTTAGTCCTTCCATAAAAGTAAAAATGTGCGTTTAACGTCCCAAGAAAACAAAGGAAGGAATTTGTCGTGAAGGTCATGTGCCGCACACAGATCCCAGGCCCACGGCTGGTAGGCATTGCTCACGTGGGGCCTTGGGCTCCAGAGCCCACGGCTGACCATCTCACCGCCTCCGCCGTGCGTGGCCTTGGTGTGTGTGTGCAGCACTGGGGAGGGTGGAGGGTCAACTCAGAAGGGAAGTGTGGGGGCCTCCGGGGGCGGTGGTGGGGAGCTGCAGGCGTGACCACTCAGTGTGGTGGGTGGTTTCCTCCAGCCACGGTCAGTGGTTAAGTGGGCTAAGTGCAGGGTAAGCGGAGGGCGCGAAGTGACGAGCGCTGGGGCTTGTCGGGCACAGAGGAGGGCGAGGGGGTGGGAGGGCACTGGAGGTCCTGGTGGTTGCGGGCTGTTGGGGTTGGGGCACCAGCAAAGCGAGCTGGGGAAGAGGCAGAGGTCAGAGGGAGTGTCTGCAGTCCGGGCTTTGCAGGGTTGCTGGACGTGACAAGGTCGGGGGCCGTGGGAACGGGCCTGAGCTGGGGCAGAGGACGAGGTCATGGGGGAGGCACGGGGTCAGGGAATTGGGGTCTCCTGTTTGGTCATTGCAGCGGCCAACACTTGGGAGCTGCGGGCCCGAACGGTAAGGAATTAGGTTGCAGCTAACTGCACACGGCAGGTGGTGGATCCCGCTGACCTGGGAAGGAGGTTTTGGAGCGGGGGGGGGGGGGGGGGGCGCCCCCCCCCCCAGGCCCAGGGGCATGATGGGTAGGAGAGAAAGCACCCTCACTGGAGGGGCTGCAGGGAAGCAGTGTCTTCAGGGAGAGCCGGGTTTTAGCGCAGGAAGGTGCAGGGGACGTTCCAGGATGAGGTGGAGACTCGGGGGTTTGCTGGCGACAGGCGAGTTCCGAGTGCGCAGAGGAAGAGCTTGGGGGTGGTCAGACTGGGGCGTGTCCAGAGCCTCCGGGGGTGGCAGCGGGGGAGGGGCAGGGTGCCGTGCAGGAGACCGGGGCTGAGCCCTGACGGCCTCTGCAGCAGCCAGGGGTCGGAGTATGTGGAGGAGTCCTGCCTCCTGCCAGGAGCGTAAGGGACTTGGTGGATCTGTCTTCAGCCAGCCAGGGTGCTGGCAGGCTGGGCAGTCGGGAGCCCCTGGGGCCCTTGAGGGAGGGCGGCAGACACTCCACTTCCGGTTAAAGACCCAGAGGTCAGGGCCTCACTGCTGTTAGTTGACGAGACAGAAAGGTGACCCCCCCACCCCCACCCACTCGGCCGCCTTCTGCCCGCTCCTGAGTCAGGAAGGCTCCAGCGCAGAGCTTCCAGGCGCTTCCATGCAGGCCTCCTCCCCAGTGCTTCGGATGACCTCACGGTCAGGAATCCCATTGTTGGCTCACAGCCACGGCCTCTTGCAGCAGTAGCCGGCTGCGCGGGGAGGGAGGGCCCTGACTTTCTACCACGTCAGGTGCTCTGCCTCCCGTGGGGTGCTCACAGCGGTCTCCAGAGTGTGCCAGTAGCAAGAGCAGTGAGCCAGGCTGCCAGTTCGCTGCCCAAGGTCAGCCACTGGTGCTGGCCCCCAGAAGTAGGCTCTCTTGTTGCCCTGATCGCTGTGCTGGCCTTCAAGCCACGAGGCCTGGCCTCCTGTGCCTGCAGCCTCCAGGGCCCCGGTCTGAAGGTGCTGGGTGTACTCGTCCAGCCTCCAAAACCCGACTGCCCAGGGGCGCCCGCGTGGCAGTCAGTTAGGCATCCGACTCCTGATTTCGGCTCAGGTCCTATCTCAGGGTTGTGAGATGGAGCCCCGCCTCCGGCTCCGTGCTTCGCACCATCCGCTTGAGATTCTCTCTGTCCCTCTTCCCCTCCCCGCACTCACTCTACCTCTCTAAATAAATCAATTTTTTTTAAAGATTTTATTTATTTATTTGTCAGAGAGTACACACAAGCAGGGGGAGCGGCAGGCAGAGGGAGAAGCCTAGATACAGAAAGAGAGAGAGAGCATGAGCAGGGGAAGAGGCAGAGGGAGAGAGAGAAGCAGGCTCCCCGCTGAGCAAGGAGCCCAATGTGGGACTCGATCCCAGGACTCTGGGGTCATGACCTGAGCCGAAGGCAGATGCCAACTGAGCCACCCAGGCGCCCCGATAAATAAATCTTTAAAATAAATAAATAAATAAATAAATAAATAAATAAAAACACTACTGTCTGAACCTGCCACTTACTGCAATCTGCTTGTCATTCTAGCAGGAGAGAAGCCTGCTAGAATGAGAAGGGGCCCTAGAAGACCATCTGCCTGATTCTCCTCCACATTAGCACCACCCCTGGGAACAGCGTGTCCCAGATGTCAGCTGCTTGGCACATACACAGTGAGACTGGTAACCCCTGTGTGGTCCTCCCCCCCTTGCCCCCCATCATTCCGTAGATTCTCACTGCACACCCACCCAGGAATGAGGTGCTGGGGGCAACTGTGAACCAGACAAATGGGGTCATTGCAGTCCTTAGGTCAGCGATGTAGACACAGAACCAGCAACAGAGTGCTAATGGGGGTGGTGCTAACATGTGAACAGGGAGTCCAGGGGCTCTAGCAGTCCTTGGGGTGGGGGGGGCCCCACAGGCAGACCCTCCAGTGTCCCTGGGGAGTTCTCCCTCCAGCATCATCTCTCCTTAAGGAGACGGGGGAGAGGAGGGCCCTACCTTGTTGCCCTGACCCCCATTCTGGCAGAGGGAAACCCTGTAGTCTCTGTCATGTGGATAACAGTCAACAAACCAGCCTTCTTCCTCCCTGCCCTTCCCTTTCGGCCCCCCGTTTCCCAGCAGAAGCACAACACAGAAAGTATGTTCTTTAGCTTAAGAAGCTTCTCTCCCACACCACTCTCAACCTGCAGATTCTGAATCTGGGAATAAACGTAGAAGAGAAATACCCCTTTTCCAGAAGTCAGCAAAACTCAGCTAACGCAATATAACTGAGCATCTTCGTACCCTTTGCATTTGACATGAACATCCACTTATAACAGAGGATCCTCAGTCAGGGCGTGGCCACCAAAGGTACCTAGGAAGGAGGTTTAATAGGGAACAGAAATGCTTCTCACACTCCTGATCCACAGGGTGAAAAGGTCCCAATTAGGAATCCGAAGTCTTGGGTTTTACTTGATCCCACAGCCCTTAGGACACTGAGTAAACCTCTCCCGAGTCTCAGGAAGTAGGGGATCAGTCAGGAGGCTGATGGGAAGTCACCTTGGGGATAGGAGACCCCATCGCCAGAGGCTGTACCTGCCAGGCCCTGCAGGTGGTGCAGTGACATTTCTCCAGCCTCATGGACCCCCTGCCCAAGAGGGGCTCACCATGGTGGGAGAGGCCAGGGACTACCCAGATGTCCTAATCGGGCAGGGGCGCCCGAGGTTTCAGCTCTGTCCTTTCTGAGGCAAAAGCCCAGGCTCTGTTTCCTACACAGGGTCATGCTTTCACACCGCACAGGCCTGGTGCGTAAATGTTAGCGGGGAGGGGCAGGGCAGGTCTCAGCTGGTGGAGGCTGGATCTGGCCTTTCTTGTGGGGTGAACTGCCCGCCCTGTCCTGGTCTCCTCACCCCGGGGGCGTCATTCACACCCCGTTCCCCGTCTGAAATGGGGTCAGTCATACCTGCCCACAGATGCTGTGTATAAAAGTATTTCCAGACGTCAGTCTTCTCCCTCACCTCCCTGGTGTCCCATTCATGTTTCCTTTGGGGTCCCTGCCGACTTCCATCTGGTAGGAAGCTTTCATAAAATGTCAACTGCAGGAGCCGGGGCCAGTTCACAGAAGTAATTTAACAAGGCTGTACCTGTATGCTCTGTGGCCTCAGGCAGGGTTTGGTGGGCCGGCAGGCTGGAGACATGCAGGGGGCGGGAGGCAGGCTGCCTCCCTGGGCGACGTGGAATTTGCCACATTACGGCTCTGTGGCCCTGCTTGGCCAAATCCTGAAGATGTTCCTCTGTTTCTAGCTATGATGAAGAGCTGGCGCAGGGTGATGGGGCTGACCGAGAGCTGAGAAGTCGCCAGGGCCAATCTCTGGGGCCCAAAGGGGGCCGATCGCGAGACTTGGGGAGAACCGTCCTCACAACCTGGAAGTGAGCACCCGTAGGTGCAAAAGACTGCAGCCTGGACCCTGCCAGATACTCAGTGCACCTGGGCCTATTTTGAAATTTCCTTTTTTTAGGGCTTTTTTCCCCTTTCCTAAGCCCTGTAAATAAATAAAGGCATTTCTTTGGAAGGTGAAGGAGTCTCTTAAGAGGGAAAGGTGCCGGGCTTCTCCTTTCCTCTCACACAATACTTCTGAGACCAGACATGTGGGGATTTTCCCCACAACGAGCCATTCTGCGCTCCTCTGGCTGGTGCTGGGTGTCCTACGATTTAGCTCCGTTTTGATACCATCTGCCTGGAGCTGGCGTCTGATCCCACAGGTGAAGGGCCCAGTCCCCCAAGACGGCCCTTCTGCACCCCCAAAGCCTCAGAAGCCAATCCAGGTTGTCTCCTGTACTTCCGACCTACCTGCTCTAAGTTGGAGGTTCCCAGCACCTCTTTCTCAAGGCCCTCCGAGGGCTTGATTCCTTTGCTAGAGCGGCTCACGGAACTCGGGAAAACCATTTACCTGCTCGATTACCAATTTCTCACAAAGGATGCAACTCAGGTGAGCCAGATGGAAGAGATGCCGAAGGCAAGGTACGGGGGGAAGGGGGAGGAGCTTCCACGCCCTCCCTGGGTGCACCGCCCTCCCAGCACCTCCATGTGTTGGCCCTCTGAATTCCATATTCAAGGAGATTTATGAAGGTGTCATTACATGGTATCGGTTGTTGAAATCATTGGCCATCGGCTATTGATTCAGCCTTTAGCCCCACCTCCTCCCCAGAGGTTAGGGGAGCGGGGCTGGAAGTGCCCACCCTCCGATCCCTGGGTGGTCCCCCTGGCAGCCAGTCAGGCTACCTGTGAGCCCCCAGCCACCCGGTCGGCCATTAGCACCAACTGGCTTGGTTGAAAGGGGCTCATTAGGAATAACAGAAGACGCCCATTTCTCCTTTACTATCTGGAGCTATTTCAGGAACTGGGAACAAAACTAAATATTCTAACATTTAAAGGCTGTCCCTGTCGCTCCTGGAAAGGAAAGAACAGGGGTTTTAGGAACTGTGTGACAGGAATGGGGATGAAGACCAAATCTCTATAAATCACAATGTCCCATCTCTGTCTCATCAGGGCTGGAAGAACTGATTCACGAATGTCTGAAAGCAGCTCTTTCCGCAGAGAGTAACAGCCTCAGCGTGTGATTTAGTTTATTACGAGATGTTCACGTTTTAAAAATACTGTGCTCACTTACAAACGAAACCTGACTATTTTACAGAGTCAAGCTGCTGTGAGAAAGCAGGATATTTAACCCGACAGCTATTTGGGTATAGTTCCCTTTAACTGGACCGTGATTCTGAGGAAGACTGGCAACTGGAAATGTGTGTCAGTAATTTATCCTTACAGAGGCCTTTGTCTTGGTGCTGTCACTTCGGTTTTGTAGGTGAGTCTGTCAGATGAGCCCAGACAGTCCCCGCCGTGTGGCTCATCTGATGTCAGCATCTGGGTTTGCTGCAGACCAGAGGTAAGCGTCGTTGGCAGCCCGCGGCCAGGACCAGCTCCTGACCAGCACCCTGGACAAAAATGAGTGAGGTGGAGAAAAATACGGGAAACCCTGAGTCAGTTGGACAGAGTGACTGATGCACGCCGGTAACCTCTGAGACTCGGGCTCCCTATTTAGTAAGAGCCTTTTCCCGTTGGTCATACTTGACACCGTTCACTCATGCTTCAGTCATTGTCTTGAATTTACCTTTAAAACTCCCCACCTGAGGGACGCCTGGGTGGCTCAGTAGGTTAAGCGTCTGCCTTCCGCTTAGGTCATGATCCCAGGGTCCTGGGATCGAGCCCCGCATCGGGCCCCCTGCTCAGCACTCTTTCCCTCTGTCTCTCTGTCTCGCTCTGTGTCAAATAAATAAATAATTTTTTTAAAGATTTTTTTTTTTGGAGACAGAATGAAAGAGAGAGAGAAGAGAGAGAGAGCACATGGGGGGGGTGTCAGAGGGAGAAGCAGACTCTCCGCCGAGCAGGGAGCCCGATGCGGGACTCGATCCAGGGACTCCAGGATCATGACCTGAGCCGAAGGCAGTCGCTTAACCAACTGAGCCACCCAGGCGCCCTAAATAAATAAAATCTTAAAAAAAAACCAAACAACCAAACACTCCCCACCCGAAAAAAAAAACCAAAAAGCAAAAAAACTCCCCACCTGTTTGTTGTTACAATGTTAGGAATAGGATTTTGTTCTCCTGATGGTGTGCCGAGGACGTAGCAGACAGGGGCCTTCCTCGTACCCGTGTGTGAACACACCAGGTTTATATGTCCTTTCTCGGGCATCTGTGTGCTCGCTTGTGTTTAACGACGTTTTGCTGCCTGTTGGGGAAAACGGCCTTTTACACGGTAGGATAGAAAGAGAGGCATGATGCAAATGGTATTCAGCCGGCATCCGAATGACTTGCCGTTTGAGGGGATTTGTCCGCAGTGTTCACTTTAAGCCTGAGACTGTCCCACCTAATGACCAGATTTGGCTGTGCCTTTTGTGCAGCCCCTAATTTGAGGTCTAATGTTGATGGCGGGTGTGGCTTTGAGTTTGAGTCAGACCTGGGCTTGAAGCCTGGCTCTGCCATTTGTTAGTTTGTCCCAAGGCTGTCCGGTGGATCTTTGGACCTTGGCTTCCTGGTGTATAGAAGGGGACTGATGATAGCTGCTTGGGAAATCACCAGTGCCCCAGCACCGGGTCCGGCCTGCCCCGCCCGCACGATGACTCCACCTGCGTCCCCTGACCCGGGAGGGGCGTAATCCACATAATCCACGTGACAGATGGCCTCCACCCCTGGCTCCCACACACGGCTCTTCCACCCACTACGTCCTACAACCCGGCTTCTCAGTCATGTTTTCGTTTTGTTCTCCGTGTATCTGGGAGCAGGGTGGAGTCCCTGGCTGGGAACGTTGACCTCAGTCTGAGCCCAGAGGACAAGGCCGGCGCGTCAGGAGGGAAGTTGTTAGTTTGCCGACCAGTGGGTTGCTAGGTGAGAGCGAGTGTCTGCTAAATAGATTTCTGTCAAATATTGACTGTTACATTAGTGATGTCATGTTCTGGGGCAGATGTTTCCTCTGAATACTTCCAGAACACACAGGGGCGGGAAGCGTGCGGTGTCCGAAGCAGGCCATGGAAATTCGTGGATTATAAACGCTGTTCATCACAGAGTGGTCCCCCTTTGGAATCGTCCAGGATGACACTTTCTGCTTTCTTATCAGCTCCCGTTGTTTTTTTCCCCTTTTGATGGGGGCTGGAAGGGCGGGTTCCCAAAGTCTGAGGGTCATTTTCACAATGGTTCTTTTTTTGTTTGATTTTTTCCAGAGCACATTCATCATTTGCCTGCTTCTCAAATGGGCTGCTCCCCCAGTATTCCTTGGTGGGTGCTCAAGCTGGGAACCACAGTGTCTTCCTAAATGTCTCCCCTTCCCCACCCCAGGGTCCCTAAGCCTGTGACAGCCTCCTCACTCAGATCTCCTGCTTCCCTTGGGCCTCCCCCCGGGACCCCTGCCGAGCCCCCACTAGTCTCAGCCTGCAGCCCCTTCCCACCCAGTCAGGCTCCAGCCTCAGGTCAGTAGGACTTTTTTTTTTTTTTTTTTTGACTTGTGGCCATTTCTCCCCAGTGTACAGTGGTTCTTCAGCGCACTCCCCAAAGGACAAAGCCTCTTTTCCTTGGGAGGATTCAGGAGGCCCTCTGTACATGCTTTGTCAGCCAGCCCCAGACTCACCTGGCTTTTCTCTCCCTGGACTGTCCATCTTCCTCTGAGTACCATTTCCAGCCCCGCTGCCTCCCTCAGCCAACCAGGGGTGGTGCTTTCTCCCAGCCACCTGGCCCTTGGTCTCCCCAGCATCAGGCTGTCCGCCTCCTGTGGGCCAGGGAGGCAGCTGAGGGTCTGCTGCAGGGACCCTGGCCGGCCTGTCTTTGGGCCCAGCACCTGGTTCTGCTCAGCACCTGGTACTGCTCAGCGGCCAGGCACCCACAAGGTGGCCGCTGTGTCATTTAACAGGTGCAGTGCCCCAGCGGAGTGCCCGCAGGCGTTTCAGAATCCTTGGTGAGACAACAGGAGCATCATCCAACTTTATTTCCTGTTTCTCATTTGGGAAGACAATGTATTATTATGTCTTCTGATTTATCCTAGCCTGAACTATCTTGTATCTCACATACTTTTAAGTTAAAAATAGCACTTCTATACTCTTGTGCCTGGGAGCGTTCAAAGCGGTCCATTCCCTGCTCACCGCCCCCCATGGCTGGTGCTCCTTCAGCAGAAACAGAACCTGGGGGACCGCGGTGTCCCCTGTAGGGAGCCACAGGCTTCCCCCGCCTGCCACTTGTCCACATTTTTTTTTTTCCATTTTCAAATTTAGCTCCCTTGATTTTTCTCATGTAAACTTGCTGCCCGGTCGCTCCTGTCGGAGCCCACGTTCTCCTTCTAGGTCCTCGGGTGGATCTTCAGAGATGGCGAACTCCCGAGCAAAGCCTCCTTCCAGGATTCAGGGGCGAGGGAGCTGTAGCTTGGATGGGGCTTCAGAGGTGGCCAGGCAGATGGCCCAGTGGCCGTGTAGCCCCGGCGGAGGTGTAGTGGGCCTCACTGACCCCCACTGGCAGCAGCCTCTTGGGCAGGGGACCAGGTATGCCCCCCAGAACTATGATGGCAGGGGCCAGGGGGACCCTCGTGGCCATCTGCACCGGAATACTGGAGGCTTGGCCAGGTCGGTGGCCCTGGGGCTGGCAGCGGCCGCTTCCCTTGGAGCACCTGACACCCACTGAGTAGCCCCCGGAGCCACATAGGCCTTCGAACCTGGTCCCTGGGTCTACTGCTGCGGGGACATCCTCTTGAGAACCTCAGCCTCAAGGGACATCCATGACGACACTTCTTGGCGGGTGCGGTGGGTTGGAGAGTGCCCGTCCAAAATTCATGCCAACCCAGCACCTCAGAACGTGACCTTATTTGGAGGTAGGTCTTTGTAGGCGTGATGAGTTAAGGATCTCAAGGTGAAATCATCTCGGGTTTAGGCTGGACCCTAGGCCTAATGACTGGTGTCCTTCTCAGAAGAGAGGGCACAGACACAGAGAGAAGGCCACGTGGAAACGGAGGCAGAGACGGGGGTGAGGCAGCCCCTGGCTACGC